CGCCCCGTTGCTGAATGAGATTTTAAATCAAGATGATGTCCGGATGAGTGAAATTATTGGTGCTGAGGCAGCAAAACGGGCACTCGAGGAAACGGTCATTTTACCGACAATCAATCCATCGCTTTTCTCGGGTCTTCGGCAACCTGCTCAAGGAATCCTGCTGTTCGGGCCTCCAGGGAATGGCAAAACATTGCTAGTTTGTTAATTTTTGCATTATGCATAACTTCATCACTACTACTTGTTGGTACATTTTGATTATATCTTCATAGGCGAATCGATGGGTCGCTCGCCCCCCTCCCCCCTCCCCCCTTCCCACTCCCGCTGTTCTAGCGACAAAGGCGCCAATGCTGCAAAAGCCCGAGTCTAAAGCTAAAACTAAAGCCTAAAGTAATTTTTAGCAATGATGCAACTCTGTTCCTAGCTTTTGGGAGGGGACTCGCCTTTCCGCCCGCCCCCTCTTCTCCCCCTCCGTCGTTCTTCCCAAGAGCCCCACTCTCCCTCCCAACCGCCGCCATCCCTTCACCCGCCCCAGTCCGGGAGTCCGTCCTTGGTCCGCTTGCTTGACAAGCTAAAGGGACATGCCTCTGATTTCTTGCTTGCTTAACGAATGGATACTCTTCAGAATCTTGCTATCTAATGTCTGTTGTTTGAAAAATCCTGTCTTTTTGAAGTCCTCCAAGTGCTTCCAGTTTTTTAGAGCATTTTGCGAAGTTTTGATTAATCAACAAAATAAAAAAGAGCAGTTTGAAGTCAGATACCTAGCTTTGTTTCACTTTTCGTGAGAAGCGATGGTTCGTACAATTAGCTGAGGTGTTTCTTCCTTTTTTTTTTTTGTAGATTTGCTGTTTCTAGGCTCGTGCAGTAGCTACCGAATGTGGTTCGACGATGTTTTTAAACATATCCGCAGCTACACTGACCTCCAAATGGGTTGGTGAAGCGGAGAAAATAGTCCGAGCATTATTCCAAATTGCAAGAAATGGACAACCAACGATTATATTTATTGATGAAATTGACTCAATTCTTTGTGAACGTAGTGAGAAGGAAACTGAGGTACGAGTGCATCTGATACTTTTATAATAATTTTATCATAATAATTTTAATAATTTTACGGTAATAGTTTTACTAAAATAATTTTATTACAACAATGATTTTAATATAACGAATTAATTATAATAATTTTATTAAAATAATTTTTTAAAGCAGTTTTATTGATTTCGTAGTTCTTATTTCGAATTTTTCTCTTCGATTCTCCTTCTTCAGAATCTTTCTACTTATACTGACGCCTCCTCGAGTCATGTGAATCGTGTGAGCCGTCGATGTGAATCAGCAGAATCCCCCTGGTCGTATCCTCTAATAACTGTATATTCCAAATCTTCATGATTTTAGAAAGCTCAAAGATTCATCTCCGTTGGGGGGCAACCACTGCCCAATTATCCCTTCATTCGCGTTGATGTAATGGTAAATTGGTGCTAGCATTTTTGGGGGAGTCACCATCAAGTTTGCTTCTAAATAACCAGTTAAAAAGGCAACCATTGGGAGTTTTGCTGGATACTTCTTGTTCGTGGTTTACTAAAGTTATTTTTGAGGACTTCCTTTCGTAGGAAAATTTTATCCTATTTCTTGGGGCTTTTTTTTTCGAAGAATTTCTATCGGTGAGCCGACTTTTTTCCCCGATGCACCTTCGTGTCAGTAACCATGTTTCACATCCGTACGTTAGTGCAGCGGGGAATCTTTTCATGGTTGCTGCTTGACCGGGTGTTCGGCGATGTGCATATTTTCTTATTTC